GGAAGGAAGGAAGGAAGGAAGGAAGGAAGGAAGGAAGGAAGGTAGGTAGGTAGGTTGGTTGGTTGGTTGGTTGGTTGGTTGGTTGGTTGGTTGGTTGTAGTCTAAGAAGCTAATTTCTAAGAACCGTTTCTGCCAAGCAAGTCCAACAACGCTCTCATTATCCCCTTTTATGACCTGGTTCAGACTCCTTTACCAAACCCTTCAGATATTTGAGCAAACAACGGAGAGCCCGAAACAGGAAGGGGGACAACCAAGTCAAGCTGGACTCCAGGACTGACGTTCCTATCTCTGCCCTGCCATCTTGGCACTCCTTCTCGTCAGGGGATGTCTTCACTTTCTTCTTTCTTTTCAAAGTCCTGCTCCAACTTGCTGCGATGGAAACCGATCTCTGCACGCTGGGCATACCGCTGACCCCCCTTCTCCTCCAGCGATTTGGGGCGGTTGCGACATCTCTTTTGAGGCCTTTGTCAAAGCAAGACCTGGCGAGGAAAACAACAGAATAAAGTCATTCGAGCAATCCTGGACTTTGCCCCCAAGACAAATGGATTCAGGAAGGCAGGTGGAGCAGAGCTGGGGTGGCCTGGGCTTGTCCGGAGCAGATTCTGTCTTGATAAGCAAAAGGCCTCTGCATGCAATCTGCTATTCGGGGGCTGCCCCAGTTTTCTGCTTCCAGCCCCCGCCAGCAGGACACACACACACACACTTGAAGCCCGAGGCGTCAGCCAGAACACGCAACCTATGGGAAAGACCATTACAAGAATCGATGGTGCATCTCTGCTCTCCAAAACAGCAACTCTCCTTCTGCTGATTGCACAGAAGGGCCCCCAACCCTGCACTGAGTTGCGTCCTTCTCGAAGAAAAATCCCTCGATTTGCAGCATATTTGTCCGCATGAAATGTCTTAGCTTCCTTGGAAACTGTTCTGGCAGAGGAGGCACAGCTGTGCCCACTGTTTGAATTACTCCATTCAGGGGCAGGAAGGAAAGCCCAGGGACGGAGCTCCATCGTCCTGGGCCTGCAGAGTCAAGGTGGAGTTTGGTGGGGCCTTCTCTTCCTTTAGGGGATCTTGAGGGGCAAGGGCAATCCTCCCATCATGAACTTTGGATGGCACTGGAGAGTTGAGGGTGCCAGGTTCAGTTTCCCATCATGCATCTCAACTAGCATCAGACTCAGGGCATTGTGGGAATTGAAAGGGCAGCTGGCGAAGCCCCCCCACTCAAAATGCCAGGCGGTGCCTGCTTTTTCCAGATGGCCCATGGATGCCCACTGTGCCCTGCTGCTGAGTCTAATGGAGAACACTTTGCGCATGAGCAGAAATACTTGCTTATGCTCCTTACATCAAATATGCCCCCTAGATGTAAAGTTGTGGCTGAAAGAGGAAAAACCAGCCAGATGCTACTTACCCAATTCACACTTTGTCTCTCTAGGACCATCACTATTCCGCGCCCAGCTCCATACCTAAACGCCTGCAGCTCAATCCAGCCCAGAGTGCTCGTGCAGAAATTATGAATTCTGCCCAGCTATATTATCTTTGAAAAGGGGGCCAACTCCACATCTGCTTTTTTTTTTAAGTGCATCATTGAAAATTACTATGCAAAAGTGACTTATAGCTGAGGGGGAGAAAAGGGGGAAAAAGCTAATGCCCAAACACCTAAATGCTTCCCAACTGCAAAAAATAAATAAATAAATAAAACAATAAAAAAATTCCAGGACCTTGTAGACC